GTTTTCTGGCTAGCATTATGTGAGAATGCTTGCCTTACTATGTTATTTCTAATTCTGTCTTATCATTGCTAATTTATTAAATACTTCAAGGAAATAAAATAGATGTTTTAATTTACATTATTTTGTTTTTTATAATGATGTTGTACAGATCTTTATAGATGAAAGTCACAAGCAATTTAACACTTATGTATGTGGCAATTTTTTTTCAGTTTTTAAATTTAGCTACATGGTAGGATTTGTTAGACAGGGAAGTATCACAATATTTATGTAGTTATAAAAATCCATATTATTCTTTATAATTTTCAGGGAATTTTACTCTTAAAATTTCCATTCTTTATTAGAAAATACTTTCATATCTTTCTTTTACATATGCTTAATAATTTTGTTAATGATATTGAACTTTTTATTTCATCTCCAAATTATTTAGGTGTATTATGTATGTTGAGACTTTATTATGTTTTCAAAGATTTTCCTGTTAGCATTTTTAGTAACCTTAAAAATGCATTATTATTTATTGTAATTGCTTGACCATATACTGACTTCTTATACATATAGTAATAAAGAGTTTTTCTGAGCTAGCTCTCTAGTTCCAGTAGTCTCTCAAGGCTCTCCTTTTCTGTTTCTCCTCACTGACCTTTTAGTATGTTTTATTATCTGTTATTTCTGACAAACTTTTAATTCATCTGCCAAATGTCAAAAAATCCCATTATTATATTCGTTGTGGTTATATTTAACTCATAAATTAATATGGGAATGTTGGCTCTTTGCAATATTCAGTCTTCTGCACCAAGAACATAGTATCTTGCACAGCCCTAATACAACCTCTTTCTTATTCTCTAAAAATACCATTTTATACCTTCACTCTCAGCTTCTGAAATTGCCTCATACATCATTGGAAAACTAGAAGCAATCATACAGGGCTTCCTCATTTTCCACTACCAATTTACCATACATCTTCACATAACTTTTGGTCTTTGAAAATGCCTATAAGAGGCCAAATCCTCCACTAATACTCTTCATATCTTATTATCTTAATAGCCAAAGAAATTGGTCTTGCAATTACCTGATTCTCTTCTACATCATCTCTCTACTGGAAAATTACTATAGGTTACACACATGCTCCAGTATCTTCTATCTTAGGGAAGTCTTCTCTCGAAATTACATTTCCCTTGCAGTTCCCCCAATTCTCAGAGCAAATCGTCTTGAAAGATGTGTCTATACCCAAAGTTTTCACATCCTTTTCTACCATCCATGGCTAATGTCACTGTAATCAGGCTTCTCTGCTCTCAGTCCCACATTACCACAATTGTGCTTGTCAGAGTCAGCAATAATGTTCCTATACCAAACTCAGTATCACTTCTTTATCTTCATCCTGCTCACACATTCAGCTACATTTGACACAATTGGATCGTTTTCTCCTTTTGGGAGCATCATTTTTTACTCTCAGGCCACTGCAACCAATAGGTTTTCTAAGTACTCCACTGGATTCAGTCTTTACTTGGTCAACTTTTTCTCTTCAACGTGACGTCTAAGTATTGAAGCGGCTTGTGGCTCCATTGCAAGCCTCCTTTTCTTCTCGTTCAATATTCTCTGGCAATTTCATCATCCCATAGGTTTAAATGCATATCAGTTCCCAAGGACATGACTTCCTCTGAAGCACAAACTCATTTAGCTAATTGCTGATGTGACCTTTCTGCCTGGATGGCTAGTAAGCATTTCACTTTTAATCCAAAACTTAATGTTTGACTCGGTCTGCTAAAATTTGTTCATACCACAGTTTTTCTTGTTACAAAAAACAGCAGGCTGGGTGTGGTGGCTCACACCTGTAATCCCAGCACTTTGGGAGGCTAAGGCGGGTGGACCATGAGGTCAGGAGTTTGAGACCAGCCTGGTCAACATAGTGAAACCCCGTTTCTACAAAAAATATATTTAAAAAATTAGCCGAGTGTGGTGGCATGCACTTGTAGTCCCAGCTATTTGGGAGGCTGAGGTGGGAGAATCGGTTGAACCCACAAGGCGGAAGTTGCAGTGAGCTGAGACCATGCCATTGCACTCTAGTCTGGATGGCAGAGTGAGACTGCATCTCAAAAAAAAAAAAAAAAAAATTCTGAAGATGGATGTTGGTGATGGCAACACAACAATGAGTGTACTTAATGCTGTTGAACTGTACACCTTAAAAATGGTTAAGGTGGCCCAGAGATAAAAGGATGGTTCAGCATACACATCAAACAAGGTGATACATCATATCAACAGCATGAAGATTTCTTGTAATCTTATATATTTCAACAAGGTAGACGTGTTCTAACATTAACTATTCTTCAAATGCTTTATGAATCAGATTTACTATCTTGCAAACTTTCTTATTAAGTTAACATATATATCATTTTATTTTTGTGGGCATCATATTTGTAGCTTTCCAAAAATTATATTTTGACACAAAGACTTTATGACTCAAGGTTTATGACTCACATGTCTGACAAAGAATATTTTTATTATGTTTTATAAACTGTTAAGTGGGAATTTTCATATCATTACCTATGATGACAAATGAGTATAAAAGGGCTTAGAGATTAAAAGCTATATTCCATAGTAAATAAAATAAATGTTTATAATTTACATATCTCAAAAAAATTTCAAGCAATTTTGTAAGAACATTTTCAATGTTACCATGTAGACAGCACTTAATTGTGATAATGTTTTCAGTCTCCAGCTCTAAGCATATATACATATATGTGTTTTCTTAGATGACCTCCTGTTTGGAATTGTACCTCCTTCTTTATCTGCATGAATAATCCTGTTTCCTTTACAAAACTCTTCTTTTTTCTTTGCATGTTAATTGGGAAAATTTGAAATGTAAGGCCTCAGGCAATATTTCATTCATTTTGAGTTAAAATTTAGAAAGCCTATCCTATACAGCTTAAAAGAATGCAAAATGGAAATAAAATTGGGAATGCAAAATGGTTCAGTCAATATGGAAAAGTCTGGCAAAGTTTTATAAACCTAAACATACACTTACCATATAACCAATCAGTTTTACTCTGAGGTATTTTCCCAAGTGAATAGACAATTTATGTTCGTGTCAAAACCTGTACATGAAAGTTTATAATGGCTTTTTCATAATCAACAAAATAGGAAACAACAGAAATATCCTTCAACTGGTGAATGGATAAACAAATGATGATAGATCCATACAATTGTATACTATTCAGTATTAAATGGGAAAGGACTGCTAGTACGTAGATACAAGAATATGGATGAATCTCAAACATATTATTCTAAGTGAATGAAACTAGAATCAAAACCTTTGGTCATTTGTATGACGTTTTGGAGAAGACAAAATAATAGTGACAGTAAACAGATCAGACAGTTGGCAGGGGCTTGGGAGGGGGAGGGGAGGAATACAAACAGGCACCTGAGAATTCTTGTGGCTGATGAAACTTCTGTGTCTTGATTTTGGTGGTGGTCTCATGACTACATACATTTATCAAAACTTGCAAAACTGTATACTAAAAAAGGTGAATTTTACTGTATGTAGATTGCACTTTAATAAATAATGAAAAAAGGAAATTATAGTGTTAAATAAATGAGTATGAAGCTTTTAATATTCTGCTTGTCCAGACTTCAAGTACCCACAGGAAAATTCCACTCATGTTATGATTTTGTGAAGAATTTTAGTTTGACTCTTTAAAAAATATAAACATTTTATTTTTCACAAATTAAACTTGCCTATTCACTTATTGAATCAATTTCTAAGTTCATTATTTCTCCTTGTATACATTTTCTAGGTGCCACTTTTCTCCTTGCTGAAATTATTTTATTGGGAGTGTTTGGGGATAAATACTTTTCAATGTCATTTTTAATTTGTCCTAATTCATTAATGATGGCTCAGCCATGCCTGGAATTCTAGGTGTGCAGTTACATTTTCTCAGCATTTTTAAATATATTTCTCCCTTGTCCTATTGCTGCTATTGATAGTCCGCTATTATCTAGTTGTCTTTACTTAGTGGGTAATCTGTCTTTTATTTTTGGGAGAATATAAATTGTTTTCATTGATATTGATACTCTACAAGTTCAGTACTGTATGAATTCCTTTTTGTTTTCGTGCCCAATACTTGGAAAACTGTCTGCTTACTCTTTAATATCACTGGTGGCAGAACACGGTAACACCAAGACATGGAAGCCATACTGGATTGCCAAAGGTCAATGAGGGGAAGACCTCACATTTACAGACTCCTCAGGGAGCAGTCATATTGAATAGGAAATGGTCCAGGGTAAAAGAACCATAAAGAAGGAAGCAGCATGCCACATAAGTAAGGAAACCCACCTTATATTCTGGGACAGAGGGCTGGCCACATAAGGAGTCTTTGTGTCCTGCTTTATTTAGTTAATTTAGAAATGAGCCATCAGTGCCTCCCTTGTGGAATAGAAACATAGAGCCTAGGTGCTTATTTAGTGAAAGAAGAATACAGGAATACCAGGCGAGGAAACACACCCACGAGGATTAATTGTCATCCTGATCCTGGGCCAGCATTTCCAGGGAAGCCATTTGAGTTGAGAGGATAAGTCCCTTGGAACATAGGGGTACAATAGAGGGAAGAGATCATGGATCAGAAGACAGGGCAGCTTCTCTCAGGACAAGGCTCTGGCTCACCTTTGGCTCCAGGGAAAGTAAGGCAGGGGACGATAGAATATCCTTTGGGCAGCTCTTTCAATATTGACTCAATATCTACTTCCTCCAGGATGCTGCAGCTTTTATCTTTGCTCCCTGACTCTAGCAAGAATGAAGGAAAGTCTGAGTATCTGAACCCAAGAACTCAGTCTGGTAACTGCTCTAGGGCTAGAGGGGCTCTCTTCCTGGGAACCTGTATAAAAGTAGTTTCTACTAGTGTTTCACAGGTGTGAAAACAGGAAAGTAATCTTCTTATGTAGGAAACTACCCAAATTCTGTATTAGCTGTCTGTCTGCATCCACTGCTATCTCTAGGGTAGACCTGCAGATAAGTGGAAGGAATAGAAGGGCCCTGATATCTGATCTCACTCGGACTTTTCAGACACTTAACCCAACTTTGCAAAATTAAACCATCTGAACACTGCTGAAGAAAGCTGCGTCCTTTCTGCCCATTTCGACTGGAACATCCTTGAACTTCAAACAATCCCTAGGAAAATCTGAGTGGTCGCACAGCTAGGCTTCTCACCGCCTGAGGTAAGGACTTTGTATTTTTTTCAGGGAATGGTGTGTCTCTAGGTAAGCTGAGTAGGAAAAACAGAGTTCAAAGCATACCCTAAGAATGTAAACTACCCGTTCTGCCAGATTCCCTAGTATAATGTTTGGGCTTCATAGCTTGTTCCAATTTGTCTATTCTTAATTTTCTGAACCTGAAAAGAGAACCAGTAAGGACCATGCTACAGCCCAGGCATGGGTATCTGCTTCCTGGTGGAAATTGCAATACTTGTCTTTAGACCCTGTGTGCTCTTCTGGCTCCTGATAACACATTTTTGCATCTATCAGATGATGAATATCCTAAAGGGCCATCTAAAAAGTGATGATATATCCATTTCATGTTCTTATACCTTTTAACCATTAAGGTACTAATGGCCCCATAAGAGGCCAGTGGAAACCAGTGAAATATGAAAACACAGATGCCATAATATGGGGAAATGATTTACAGAAGGATGCTTCACTTCAAAATCTTTAACTGCATGTTCAGAGTTGGCTTTATCTATCAAGTTTCATGATATACACAGACTCCTGTCAATCTTAGGCCCTTGTCCTTCTCCTTGGCTTCTCCGTGGGATTGGGTACCACGACGTCAACAGCTGCTTTCTGGAAAAGGAGTTCCTCCCTATCCCTGTGGTCCTTCCATCCAGTTTAAATGTTCTGTCCCTGCAGGAGGGAGAGTGAACATCTGGTCAAAGGGAGGAGAGGGGATAGAATTATTGAGCATAATTACAGCATATAACAGATGCTCTCTTGTTCCCTTTCACCATTTCTCCCAAACACAAACATTCTGATCTTCCTAGGAAGGACCTCATATGTTATATTTTGGAGCCTTTCCAAGCTCACATCTTAATGTAACCTGTTTTAAATAAACACGTTTGCATTGACCCTAAAGTATTTAGCTCTAAATGCAACATTTTCCCAAACATGACATTCTCTTGTCTCAGTCCCTCATCCCTTCTCTCTCAAGCTTCTGTAGAATGTGTGGCTGGTCAAGAGAGGTAACTAACGTGGACAAGTTTTAGCCTACTAATGAGGCTTTCATCTATCGCCTTGAGTACTGCAAACAAATGTGGCTCTAAGTTCTATGGAGAAAGAAGTGGAAGTGCTTTACTGAAATCCAGTCTCTGTACCTGTTTGGAATTTCATATCAAAACAAGTCTATGATGAAAACTAACTGGATAGGTACAAAGATAATCAAGGATGTGTGCAGCAGAATATTTCTTTAATCTTAAGGGAAAGGTAATTTGTTGTTTTTGGAAAGATAATGTATTGTTTTTGGAAAGATACATGTTCAGGTTTAATGTCCTAAATAAGATTTTATGTATGACGTCTTAATGTTTAGTTACTACTGTGATGTCTGTTCTCCATTTAGATGGAACTTTTATCAAAATACAATGAGAAGTCAGACATTCAGAAATCAAGAGGCAAAGTCAGTTATCAGTGGAAAGGGTATCATCTCAGTGGATTCATGTCCTAAGGAGCCTCTGATATTACAAAACTAGAGTTAATCTTAGCAAAAATTCGTGGATATCCATCTTGTTCTAGGTGATGAAAGAAACCGCAGCATGGAGCTCCAGAACTCCACCTTGGGAAGTGGCTTCATCTTGGTAGGGATTCTGAATGACAGTGGGTCTCCTGAACTACTCTGTGCTACAGTTACAGTCCTGTACATGTTGGCCCTGACCAGCAATGGCCTGCTGCTCCTGGCTATCACCATGGAAGCTGGGCTCCATGTGCCCATGTACTTCCTGCTTGGGCAGCTCTCTCTCATGGACCTCCTGTTCACATCTGTTGTCACTCCTAAGGTCCTCGCGGACTTTCTGCGCAGAGAAAACACCATCTCCTTTGGAGGCTGTGCCCTTCAGATGTTCCTGGCACTGACAATGGGTGGTGCTGAAGACCTCCTACTGGCCTTCATGGCCTATGACAGGTATGTGGCTGTTTGTCATCCTCTGAAATACATGAATCTCATGAGCCCAAGAGTCTGCTGGCTCATGGTGGCCACATCCTGGATCCTGGCATCCCTAAGTACCCTAGTATATACCGTGTACACCATGCACTATCCCTTCTGCAAGGCCGAGGAGATCAGACATCTCTGCAAATTCCCACCCTTGTCGAAATTGGCCTGTGCTGATACCGCTAGATATGAGCTCATGGTATATGTGATGGGTGTGACCTCCCTGATTCCCTCTCGTGCTGCTATACTGGCCTCCTATACACAAATTCTACTCACTGTGCTCCATAAGCCATCAAATGAGGGGAGGAAGAAAGCCCTTGTCACCTGCTCTTCCTGCCTGACTGTGGTTGGGATGTTCTATGGAGCTGCCACATTCACGTATGTCTTGCCCAGTTCCTTCCAGAGCCCCAAACAAGACAACATCATCTCTGTTTTCTACACAATTGTCACTCCAGCCCTGGATCCCCTCATCTACAGCCTGAAGAATAAGGAGGTCATGGGGGCCTTGAGGAGGGTCCTGGGAAAATACATGCTGCCGGCACACTCCATGCTCTAGGGAAAGCTCATGGCTAGCTTCCAAAATTCCTTCTCCTGAGAGTCAGAAGATTCATGCTTTGAATCAAAAATTAATGGTAAAACCAATACAGTGCAGAGTATAGCATGTAACAGAAAAGTGGATTTGTCAAATTATCTTTAAATCTTCTCTCCATGAAGTAATTTGTAGGGCATGATTTACACTATCTAAAATTACTCTTCGTCCTATTTAAAATTTACCCTTTATTTTCCCAGGAAGGTACTTAGTTAAATGGGTTCCCACCTTGGGACATGACCGTTAACCTTGGAAGTTTATATTGGATCAGAGAAAGGAAAGTTTCAAGTGGGTGGCCTAAGCAAAACCCAAACATCAAAAGGGGAGATGTCTTGAGATTTGCAAAAATTTAGACCAACTGACCTTATTAAAAGGCTGTATAGACTTCTTGTCTAATGCCCCGACTAGTATTAGTTTGCTTGCATTTGCATTGTACTTGCTCTTTTTTTTTTCTTTCTAAACTTCAGCCGTATGAAACACTCCAACGAATGTCTTTGCTTGTTTGCTTTTGCTTGTTGGTTTTTGACATGGAGATACCTTATAGTTCCTAAAATTCAATTATTAATAAAGTGAAGAAAATAGGAGGTGAAGGTAGTCCATAAGCAAGGTTCACAATAAACAACTCTACTTATTTCTTGCTAATCAAAAAAAAAAAGAAGCAAAATAGTGATTTTTCCAATTATCCAAGGCTATCTTGTAACATTCAAACCATTTCAGTGTTCAGATGCATAATGGGTGTGGATATTTAAGTCAGTGTGTCTGTGTGTTTGCGCTAAAGAAGGGGAGGACAACACAATGCATTTTCACACCAGCTTAATTATGCTGCACTATTATTAGTTTATAAGTCTGAGAATACTGAAAACAAAAGATGTGAACAAAAGCTGTGAGTTGCATTTTGAAGATTAAAAATAATATAAAATAATATGGCCAATTAAATGACACTCTTTTGGAGGATATTGCTGTTTGAAGATTCGCAAACACTTTTTAAGTCAATTCCTATAGTAATTTAAAACAGTAACTGAGACTAGGTTCAGAAAGTATAGTAGTATATCACGTTTGGAAGGCAAGCCTGAGTAGAGAGAATTCCTACACATATTTATATGAATTTCCTTCCATTTTAATACAGACATGCATTTTACTGAGTTGACGTGTCTGTATAAAACAGATTTTTTTTTAACCTACTAGCATATAGTTATTTTACTTATATTATATAGTGGCAGTATACAGCGCTGCAAAGAGTCTAGGTTCAGTTATCAGTGTACAGAAGTTAGAATTGAATACACCCCACTTATTTCTGTAATTTTTAGCATATGACTTAGCCTGTTTGTGCCCAAGTCTGCAAGTCTGCAAGTTTGCAAAGTGGAAATTGACATTAACAATAAGACCTACTTTGTAGTGTTGTGAGGATTAAACAAGTTAATAAATATAAATATAAGGGATCTTTATATTTGTAATCAGTATGTGTCATGTAATAAGTGTTTAATAAATCTAATGCCTACAGAATAAATGGCCCTGGAAATACTGTTAAGTGATGGTATAACGTTATATCATATGGGTGTTTTGTAACATTATTAGCTATTTTATCATTGTTTTACCTTTAACATTGTTGTGTGTGTGTTTGTGTGTGTCTCTGTGTGTGTATGTGTGTGTGAAATCAGTAATGTCAGTCTCTTGGATGTGTGACCTTTTTTTCAATAGAAAATTCCTATGAGTGAAATTACTCAAACCAAGGTTAAAAATCTGTTTAATACCCTTGATATGAAAAGACAAATTGGTTTTTTAAAATGTTAAATATTTTGTATTCTTACCAGCAGCATGTAAGTGTACTTAACCCACTACATAGTTTTTCATGTTAAAATTTACATATAAATAGTCTTCACTAACTGATAAGGTATAAAATTTGCCTATTTAAATTTGCTTAAGTAACTTGTTCACATTTTTCTTATTGATTTGTTGAAGTTTTTTTTACAGGTTAGGGACATGGAGACTTTGTTATATTTGTGGTAATAACTTCTTTTCAATTTGTTATTTGGCTTCTAATATCTGCATGGCAGAGATTTTTAGACAGAGAAATATTTAAAATATTTGTATAGTGAAGGATATCTTTTATTCTATGTTTTTTTCCCAGTGATTTTTACTGTTAGGATATAATTTTCTATTCTCATCGATGTCTTTGCTGTCCATAGTACAGTTCAATTTAGGTAACAATTTATATATTTTATATGTTTTGTCACACACTCTGCAATTTATGTTTAACAATAAATGTCAAATTTATCTTTACATGTGAAAATGGTGACGTTTCAACTTTTGTCAAAGCTACAATTTTTCTAGTAATATTTTAAAGTAATCCTTTCATTTTCTATTATTTTACTACCTTCATCAGACATGTTCTAATAAGCTATATTTTGGCTAACTCTTCAGCTCTAGCTTCTTTCTCTTCTTTACTCCTTTGGAAGACATTTAATTCTATCATTCACATCTTAATAGCTCACTGGTAATTTGATTGTGAATATATTTAACTGATAAATTAATTTGCAGTTTGAGCATTTTTACAATACTCAGCCTTGCCTTCCTGAACATGGTGCATGACTATACTTCTGGAACCTAGTCTCAGTCAGTTTTAAAATGACCATTCTACACCATCCTTCTAAGCTGATGCCTTGCCTCACACTTCACTGGAAGAGAAGCAGTTGGCTACAAAGCCCTCTTCAAATCTTCCACACATCTGTGCCTACACGTACACTTCCTGTTTTCCCTCATTATAACTGCTTGAACTCGGGAGGGGGAGACTGCAGTGAGCTGAGATCGCACCACTGCACTCCGTCCTGGGCAGCAGAGTGAGATTCTGTCTCAAAAAATAATTAATAAATTAAAAAAGTAAGAAGGCTTTCCATGACTCCAATCCCCCTTAGTAACTGTAGCATTATTTTCAGCTTCTCTTCACAGGGAAAGAAATACAAAGGGAATGTTTATGCCCATTTTCTCCTCTGCTGATCTTCTATGCACATCTTAACCCACTTTCAATCAAGCTATGGTCTCTTTCTATGGACCTGTTCTTTGTCAAAATTATCATTAATGTGCTAAATAAAATGTTCACCTCCATATTCTCCTCCATCAACCTTTCAGCAACATTGATGTAATTGACCACATTCTTCTGTTGGGAATTTTTTCTTCTTTTGACTTCCAGACACCACACAACCCTGACTTACTTCTTTAATCCCTAACTTTTTTTGCCATATTGGATTCCTTTTCCTTTTTGAATGTTTCCACATTCAGATGATACTAATATGGACTTCCCTGTCTTCTCAATCAAGAATCTGTTTCTGAGTAATTTCATCCACTTACATAGATTTATGTTCTGTCCATATGCTTTTGAGTCCCAAAGACCTCACTATTTGTATAATCCACAGATTCATATGTTTAACTGACTACTTCTCATGTCTAATAGGAATTTTAAACTTAATCTAAAGTATAATTTTGATTCATCCCCCTGCTAATCTGTTCTTCCCTCAATTTGTTCCACCTAAATCAATAGCATCACCATCCACCCACGTGACCAAACTGAAAGCTTAAATATAATCATTGTTTTCTCTCTTTGCCTTACCACATAAACAAGTAAATTCTATTGGCTTCATGTATACAATAGATTCCACATATATGTATTTCTCTTGGTTTCCCTTACAAGTGTCTCAGTCCAAGTCAACATAACCTGTTTACTGTTGCTCTACGACACATTCCTAATAGGTCCTTCTTTTTCCACTCTTGCCCCAAGGTAATCATTTTTTCCCCTCTTACACAGAATGACCTTCATAAATATAAATCAGATCAAGCTATTTTTCCACAGATGCCCATTATCTAGTTTCTGCCTACCTTTCAGCCCGCGTCCGAAACTCTGTTCCCTGACACTCACTCTAATCTCATCCCATTGACCTTTTTGTTGTCCATCATACAGTCCAAGATTGCTCTTGCTTTAGGGCCAATTAGCAGCTATTCTCCTAGCCTATGATCTCTGTTAAAGCTTGTCTTAGTACTTCCCAGCATTTAGTTCTCATCTTAAATGTTAACTTCTCAAAGAAGTTACCAACGTAAGTAACATGCACCCAAACCAAAAGGCATTATGGCACACTTTGTTTTATTGTCTTAATTGCACTTACCATTATATTAAACTTTCTTTTTTTATATTTTAGTTTACTTGATTACTCTCTGACTTCACCCTCCAAAATGAAAGCTCCTTGAGAGCATGAATTATGCTTTGTGTTTGTCATCGTTTATCTCCATAAAATCTAGGAATACCTGTGGCATAATATCTACAATAACAATGTGAAAATTATGAGCATGAGAGTGTGTGTGTGTGTATCTCTTCGCTGAAGAAGTAGAGGACAATGCTATGCTAATTAAAAATATTCAATATTTTTATTTCAGAATGTTAATCTTTTGATAAATAACCTATAAATTCAGTGTATGAAATTAAAAATCTCATGGCATATTCTGTTGCAATCGTTTTTGCCAAGGTCAGTAATGACATAATTGACAAATTTAGTAGCCTTTTATCAATACATAAAACTCTTGAAACATTCAGAAATCTTTTCTAAAAGGTCTCTTTTCTTGTCACTCCTGACATGCCTTTATTTGGCTTCTCCTCCTGAATTTCTGACTCTTGCTGCTCCAGGCTTGATTAGCTACTTTTCACTTCCCCAGAAATGTTGGTAACTCCAGGTTTGTGTCCTGGATTCTTTCTATTTTTTTTTTTTGTGGTGGGGTTTTGCTCTGTCATCCAGGCTGCAGTGCAGTAGTAAAATATTGCCTACTAAAGCCTCAAACCCCTGGACTCCTGGACTTCTGGACTCAAGCAATCCTCCCAACTCAGCCTCTCAAGTAGGTCTTTCCCATTATCTTTCTGCATCGTCACGTCTCATCCAGGATTGCATTACAGATTTAAATTGGGATCTTTTAATAATTATACATATATATTTGTGTGTATGCATGTGTATATATACACACATATGGAGATATATATATAAACACACACATCTCATATATGTCTATACACATATACATATGTGTATACATATACATATATATGTATAATTATATATATGTTTATATACACATTATATACACATAATAACCCATGTGTATATGTGTATACACATATATATGTATATAAGAGAGAGACAGTGTCCATTTTCATCACTCT